CACAGATGGTCGGATGAATCCGTGGTCGAGAGCCTCCTGGATATACTCCCCCATGGCCTTCTGTTCCGGGATGGACAGAGGGTAGATCTTACCCCGCGGTAGGACCGCCCCGGGCAGCAGATCGATCGCGCAGTCCCATGGCCGATGTGGAGGTAGGGTGGTCGCTTGGTGTTCATCGAAGACATCCTGGAACGCCCGGTAGGGAGAAGGAATCTCGGGAGGATGTCCAGCAGGTGGCCTATCCACGGAGGTGGTGGAGAGAGGAACGATCGGAGTGGTGGTATGAGCGGAGGTCCTCGTCACAGATGGCAGGCAGTGATGGAAGCAGTCCTCCCCCCACCGTAGGATCTCGCCGGTGGACCACTGGACATGCGGGGAGTGGGTCTCCAACCAGGGGCGCCCCAGGATGATCTCGGCTGTGGAGCCCTCCAGCACCAGGAAAGAGATCTCCTCCTTATGAAGCCAGCCGATCTCCAGCCCCAGGTCGGGACTGCGATGTCCGACCCGACCGCGCCCCAGAGGTTGACCGAGGATGGTTTGTACTTGCAGTTTGTGGGGAATGGATCGTTGCCTGGTTTGTAGCCGGTTTAAGGTGGACAGAGAGATGAAATTGGCCGCTGATCCGGAGTCGATCAGCGCCTGAACTGAAAGGGAACGGTTCAGATAAGTGAGAGTGGCAGCAGTACATTTCAAGGGGGAAATGGGTAGTGGTAGGTGGACTGTACTCACAGCGGGTCGGGGCGGACGAATGGGGCAGGTGGCGAGCAGGTGACCGGAGGCTCCACAGTATAGGCATAGACCGTTGGTGATGCGCCGATTTCTCTCGGACACTGGCAGTCGCGAGGTACCAATGTCCATCGGCTCTGGTGCTGGAGGACTGTGATGACGGGACGCTGGACGAGGAGGTGGGAGTGCAGGGCTGTCGAGCTGGCAGGCTGTGCGGCGCTGATCAATGCGAATGGATCGCTGGATGATGCTTTCTATTCCCACGGTGTCATCATAGATCGCGAGCTGAAGACGGATGTCTGAATTCAAGCCATGACGGTATGCGGTGATGAGCGCGCTCTCGTTCCACCCGAGAGTGGCGGCGAGGGTGCGGAACTGCAGGGCGTAGGAGGCAACTGACGATCTCCCTTGCCGCAACCGGTACAGCTGGTCTTGCACTGAGATGGAATGTGCAGACTGCGAGAATACCTCGATGAAATGACCGGAGAAAGCAGCAAACGTCCGAGTAACTGGACCTCGATCTTTCCACAGGGCATGAGCCCAATTGAGCGCTCGACCTCGCAGGAGTGAGATGAAGAAGGCGACCTTAGATCGTTCGGTGGGGAAGGCGGATGGATTCATCTCCATGTAGAGCTCGCACTGCAGGAGGAAGCCGCTGCACTCCTCCTCCTCGCCAGAGAAGGGCGCTGGTTGGGCCATGGGACTGGCAGAGGCAGATGGGGAAGAAGTGGTGACGGTGGCCGTGGAGAGTGCTGACGCGCTGGTCCGGGGAATGGTAGGAGAGGGTGGGGTCGGTGTAGCGCTGGTGCTCGGGGTAGGCTGCAGCATGTTGTGGGTCTGGTCTTCTGTCACAGACTAGAAGGACACAGATGGATGAGGGTAACCAGGTTTATTGACACAGAGGATATGGTAGACAGTAGGTGAGTAGTTAATGAATGAAGTTCAGTAATCGATCGGGAAACAGTCTGATGAAGGATATCTTATCTTGAGTGGGGATGGGAGATGGAGTGCTGAGGCAGCGGACGGATGAGCAGCGGGTGACCGGGGACCAGGAGCGGAGAAGGAGCAGACGGGACGACAGAAAGCAGGTAAGCAGATCTCAAAACCAGGGTTTAGAGTAGCGGGAGTCTGTAGCCGGTGTGTCGACGAGACCAGACGGTGAGTGACTGTGAGGAGTGAGTTTATAAAGGGAGGATGATTGGGACGGTGATTGATGCGGGCAGGTGACGGTGATTAGAAGGCTGGGGAGCTGGAACGAGTGGGCGGAGTGAAGGTGTCTGGTGCTGACGCAGATGGATCCGTGACAATATTCAGCTTGTGTTTATCAAATAGTTTTGGCTTGCTTAGGTGAAATACTTGATTGTTTCTCTGAATTGTTTAATGTACTTGCATAAACCACTTTTCATGAGGTCATGCACAAGAAATTGTACAAGAAAACTTTTAATCTTTTTTTTGTTTAAAATTGTGTTACTGATACATCAATTATACATGTGACCAGATCAACACTATCTGACCAAATTATGTGACCAGAAAAAGAAAACTCTCTTTGCCTTTTTTGCCCTTGTCGCCTTAGACTTTTGGCTTGCTTAGTTGAGGACATTTCATTTAATTTTCACCAATAAAATTGATCTGCCTGCATTGACACCATTATATGAGAACTGAACTGAGCTGGACGAGGACATCACTGTTTTCTCCAGAGCGGCTATATAGAAATTAACTAAATTACTAACTTTTTTACAACAAAAATGAACCATCAGGGTACTTACTTAAGCTGGACTGATGCTATTTTCTTCAAGAACCAAACTTTGTTGCATTATTTCCCTGTTATCTCCTTTAAGGTGCTTTGAAACAATCTGTATTTTAAAAAGCGCTATATACGTATATACATATATGCGTGGCTTGACTTGACTTCTGTGTGTGCATTAATAATTATTATAAAACGTTCAGTCCTTGGTTCTGAATAGCTGCGTTTTATTCTCAATAAAGCACGATTATATTACCGCTTCGCCCAATGGTTCTGTGCATCCAATAGATGTTTCCCTTAGAAACATAAACTCTCGCACTGAAGAAAAACAAGAATTAAAAGGTTAAAATGTCACTTTTGATTTAGGCAGCATGACAGTAGATGAGTGACAGACTTCTGAAAAGAACACACTGTCATACTCCAGTGCTGAAATGATCACTACTTCATGTAGAGTATTATGAGAGAGAGAGATCAAGTATGTGAGTGAATTACCTGCATCTGATATAGCACTCATTCAGGTCAATCTTAAATGGCTTTTATCTTATATCTTATAAAATCAGTACATTGTCCAATTGTAGGCTATAGGTATATATTTTAGTCCTTTTAACAGGTTGCATTCATAATATGTTTTTGTTAAGCTGAAAGTCTCTTCACATCTTGATAGCAATCACTAAGTTAAGTGGTTTGAATATTTATATGTATATAAATATTTTTTTAATATTTGTTTAAAGTCAGCATGAAATCAAATTTGACAAATCTTCTTTTTATATGTAATATTGTAGTGTTTATTATAAATTATTTATCTGTGCACTTCATTATTTTTTTGAAAGCATTGCTGGCCTTGAAGACATTGCTGGCCTCTCTGAAAATTGCCTTTATAGCTTTCCTTTAAAGAACAAATAATGTCCTTGTTTCAGTCCCTTTTAATCTAATTATTTGGTAGCCTACTGAATCACTAATAAAGACAGTCTTTGCCACCATCTTAAGGCATAATAATGTAACTTTCACTGAAGTTGAAAATCACACTAAATGACACAAAAAAAGATTATTTATTAAACAATGTTGTGCCTAACAACGCCCTTCAGCCCAACGCATTCTCACCCCAAGGCGTCACCTTTGACCATGCTTCAATATTTGACGTTTTAGGCGCCCTTTAGCGTCACTTACATGACGCGATCCTACGGCGTCATCTAACTGACGCTAAAGGAAAGCGTCAGTTAGAGGACGCGGTTAGGTGTAGGTGTGGGGTGGGGGTAGGGTACACGCGATCCTAGGGCGTCATCAAACTGACGCTAAAGGGCGCCTAAAGCGTCAGATATTGAAGCATGTCCAAATGCTTCCCAAGGCGTCAGTTAGGTGACGCCTTGGGAGTGAGAATGGGCTGTTCAGCCGTGACTTATTGACAATACAGCACTCTCGCACCTTATTGCTTCATAAATAAATGATTCATGTTCACATAAGCAGGTTACTATCGTTTATAACTCATGAATAAATAGCTCACATGTGTCCAATTTGCATTAAGGTGCACTTTCACAGGTATTAATGTTTATAAATCAAGAATAAATGGTTTACCCTACATAAAGGTTCACAGGTTATTAATATTGGAAATAACTGTTTCATTTTTAATATCTCATCAAGTTATGGTTTTGCTTTTATGTTTTTTTTTTTCTTCAAAATAAAGTAAAATCAGTTTTTAGGGTAAAGGCTGTGGAAAGGCGTCATGACCTTTTTACAGAATATCATGGGTAAAACAGAGATTAGCTTCTATTAGCAACATAGTAAGAACAGTGAAATGAGTCATGAGAAAACCACAAATACTGTACAACACCCTTCCATCCCAGAGACTGAGAGTAAGACATCTGCTGTTCACTCTCCTCCAGATGTTATTGCACACAGCTTGGGAATCTTTAAAAGTTTAGTTCACCCAAATTCTGTCATTAGTTGCACACCCTCGTGTCTTTCCAGACCTGCGGGACTTTTGTTCATCTTCTGAACACAAATTCATATATTTTTAATATCTCACTCGCAGTTTTGCAGCATTAGAGAATAATACAGGAATCTGGTTTTGACTGAAATATATAGGAATCAATATATTTATTAAGCATTTATAACATTTGAGTTAGAAAAGGCTCATTATTTGACAGATATACTGTACGTCAAAGTCACCCTTTTTATTCATGCAGTCCAACAGTGAACACTGAACCAGACTATTTTTGAGCAAGCAATATTTCAGATTGAACAGTTTACTTACTTTTTGATTTGTAATATTTCTATTATTTATTTATTTATTTATTTATTTATTTATTATCATTTTTACTATCAGACTAGAATATGTGGAATGTGTGATCCATGTTACCCTGTCTCCTAAATTTAACTGATCTTAAAACTGGCTGATCTGTGAAACCCAGTGGTGAGTGTATGAGACTACAGAAAATTAAGATGTACATACCAAAGAATGAATAAAGAAAATTGTATATAAGAAAATGCAATGCAAGTGTCATAATGTATAAGCAACACATAACACCTTATATGCAGTACAAATGGGTTTTTTATTGATACTTCACTGTCATTTTTATTAAATAAAATAAGACAGATTGTAACATTCAGCTATTTACTTTAAAGAACATTATTCTAAATTAGTCACTTACAAAACAAAAAGAGCAGCATGGGCTAAATGTTTTGTGGGCATAACACTTTTAATGGAGGCAATCTTAATCATACTCTTTGTTTAGCTAATTAGTGACTTGATGCAAGGATGAGAAATCATTCTACTGAAGAAATCCCATATGAATGGAATAGGAATGTCAATGTCCATCTCTGTGTCATTTACTCTGATATAAAACGGGATGTTCTTGATGGCATCTTTGAAGGTCTTAGTAATTTGGTCCCTGAGAACTTCTAGCCGGTTCATTACATAATTAATCCAAGCCTGGATGTCTTCAATCAGTTGCTCAATGGTCATCTCAGCAAAAATGTCCTGGGCCTTGGCTTTGACAGTTTGATAGTAATCTTCAATAATTTTCCTGAAGTTCTCAGCCTGCTCAGTTATTTCACGCAGGCTATTGGAATTGACAGCATCAGAGAAGACTTTAGAGACCCAGGATGAGAGCTTGTCGAGATCTTGAAATTTGATAGCGTTAAAGAGCTCCTCTGCTTTCTCCACACTAAATTTCAGGATTTCAGACAGTTTCTGCACAATGGTCTCAAAGCTCACATCTCTTAGACCCTTTACAATGGTGATAATTTGGCTTTGGATCTTCTGAAATGCAACATTGAAGTCATCCAATACATCTCTTCCAGTGATAATATGGGTAGAACCAGGAATTGTGACTTCTACTTTTCTAATATGTTCAATGACAGCCTTAGCACATGAGGTAAAGATCTCTGGCACCTTTGTGATGGCCTCCTCGATGAAATCAAAAATGAAGACATTGATTTTATTGCAGACCTCAAGTCCAGAGAGTTTCTCAGCATGTCCAGGAAGCTGGAACTGGGTGTTCCTCATAAATGAAATGGCTGCGTCCAGTAGGGCTTGAATATTCTTCTGGTATGCTCTTAGGATCATTACAATGTTGTCTGAAATCTTACTGCTGATTCCTGAGAGGTCAGCAGCAGCAATCTTTTCAGCTGCTCTCTTGTACATGACTTTACCTTGATCTTTGATGAGATCAATGGCACTCTCAAGCTTCTCATACTTCTTGCTGATGCCATCGTAAACTGCACTAATGTAATATGTTATTGTGTCTTTCAAATCCTTTAATGAAGCAACTTTCTCCTTCATCCACAAAAGAATCTGACTTGGGACCTCCTTGTTCCATTGTGTCTGGAAGCTCAGTCTGTTTGAGTTCATTATCGCAATGTCAACCTTCAGAATGTCCACATTATCCGCAGACTGTAATAAAGAAACAGAAAATATTATAATCATGTCAACTTGTAATTGAATGTTAAAAATATTTAAGATATCAACAATTGATCGATATGTAAGATACACTAAATTCATAATAAATTGTAATATTTTAAATGATAAACAGATTCTTACTGGGTTTGCACCAAAAAGTCTTCCTGTATGGTGGGATAAGTCCTTGCTCTGTAGTTGAAGACCAAGAAGTCCCGCAGATGGGGAGGATACAGAGACAGTAAGACCTTCTTCTGCATTTCCAGTTAATTCGTGGTAAAGCATAAATTTCATATCTGGCAGATTGACTTTGGCAGTATTTGAAATAACAGTCTTGGAGACTTCTGTGTTGGCCTCAAGAAGTCCATTATAGTTGTTTTCAAAATATGTATGCTCCACAATCAGATTGGTTGACAATTTCATCCCTGACTTCATGTTAAAGGTTGCAGAGCCACTGGTTTTGCCATTAAAAACATCAAACTCAGATGTAGCCAGAGTTTCAAACTGGGCAGCAATTTCATCCTGATTAAGGATCTCAGCCTTAGTGTTGATGGTGATCATAGCAGTTTTCACAGACAAGTCGAAGGTCAGGTCTCCAATGACAGGGATCATAATAGATTCCTTTATACTGGGAAGAGGGATCTTGGCCAAATAAGGACATTCCTTTATGTCAGATGAGATTTTGGCTGCTGCGAAAATGGGTATTTGAATTTTCCGAATTACAGAATTGAGGGCAGGCTGAATATTGAACATCTCGTGGTTCTTCACATACTTAAACTTTGCATCCATATCAAAGGTCTGCTGAGGTGTGATCAAGATTGTTTTAAGGCCTGTGTCCTCCCATAAAGAAAATTTCTCTACATAAGGTGTTTCCTTGTTAATCAATGGGATAGTCAATTTAGGAATGTTAATTGGCAAGGTCAGTACATTAAAGTCAGCCTCACCATTGACTGATGCAGAGATCTGAATTTCCTTCTCGCCATTAGCCATACTGATATAATGGGAGTACTTATATTGATTGAACCTAGCAAGACCGGTCCAGCTTGTCTGTTGCTCAGAGGGACTCAGAGTTAAAGTCATATCGTTTTGCAAATCAACCTTACTGGATAACTTAAAGGGAAGCATCAGCTTTATGTTGTCCTTGTTTTTGGTATCAAAGATCATTTCAAAAGGCACAGCCTTGAAGTTAATTGTGTTGGTAATGGTACCTTCAACTTTGCCAATCAGTTCAGCATCATGAGACCCACTTAGCTCAAACATGAGTTCCTTCAAAGAAATCTGCCCTTTCACTGCTGCAATGCTTCTCTGGATGAAGGGAGTTTCTGTCTCTGCATGCACATTAAACTTAATCTGATTCAAACCACTGGTCTCAGCATCCACTTTTTGCTTCATCTTGAGAAGACTACTCTTAGTGTCACCATTAAAGATCAGTTTTATGGACTCCACATTCACCACAATCTCCAAGTTACTCTTATGGTCTCCTTCATCGGAACAATCAAGGATAGAGTATTTTCCTTTGCCATCATTTGCAAGGGTGAGAGTAAATATGCCAGATTCCAGCTGAGCAGCAGCTTTTTGGGTCATTGTAGCTTCACTGAAGATGTTGGCCACTGGCATGTTCACACTGTGGATGTAAGAGGTCTCCGAAGTACACGAAAAGCCATTCTCTGTGCTCAGTAATGCATTGTGCTCTAAGTCAGCAGTGTATGGTTCTGTGGTTACCTTAGCTGTGGTCTTGGAAGATACCTGGGCAAAAACGTCATTGATGGACATTTCTCCCTGGTGATCAAGAGAGAAAGCCATGTGATTGGCTTTCACTGTCTCAGTCAGGGACAGCTCTTTCATTCTAGGGATGTTAAGGTGAGCAGTGGCATCAAAGGTATAGGCCAGGAGATCAATGGGTGTCTGGAACTGAGAATTCAGGTTAGCAGTGATCTTGTCTGTTGAGTTCTTGAGTTCAGCGATGGTCTTCAGAGTGTGCTCGGAGGATTTGATCTCAATATCACCATGCAGCATTCCAAAGCAGGGGACTTTAAGGAGGTCAGTGGCAATCTGCTTTACTTCATCAGCCAAGGTGTCAAAATCATAAGCAATCATTTCGTTGACTTTGGTAATTAGTTGTTTTGTCAGTTCATTAATCTGTCCGAAGATTCTTTCAAACACTGGTTTTATGTCAAGCGAGTTTAGGTAACTTGCAGCTGATTGCATAGTTTCTCTTAGCTCATATTGTTTCATTAAATCCACAGCATCATCAATGATTTTCTCGACCTTTGCCTCCACCTCATATTCTGCCAAAACCTCATCAATTTTGCTGAAGATTTCATTTATCTTGGTCATAATGCTAGTTGTTTCCAAACTGTCAATCGAGTTCCTTAAATATTGCAGATGTTTGCTCATTTCCGTTACTACAGCTGTCACGTAGGAGGCAAAATGTCTCACATTATCCATGAACATATCTACATCAACATTTTCAATTACTTGTGAAAGCTCAGTTCCTTTCCTGTAAAGAGTGTCTGTAATGTCATATTTATCATCAATGCCATGAAGCATGTCAATGCTACGATCTTTCATGGTGAGCATTGAACTTTTAACCTCCCCAATGACAGCAGGCAGCATTTCAATGAAAGGCAGGGAAATAGAATGACTATCACTGTTCTTTTCATATTGCAGAGCACTAGTGATGGCAAATTCCTGATTAGCATTTGCTTTGTTCAAGAGGTTGGTGGAAACTGTTCCTTTCAGTGCAATACCTATGTTCTTTGGAGTATTGAAGATTTCCAGGGAGTGGTCAAAGGCATGGTCATTCAGCATAGACTTCATATTCATGTTAAAATTTTGCTGCTGAGGGGTGATAGCGCTGGTTATTTGATGCTGGAAATTAGTTTCAATCGAGTTTCCACTGTTCAACTGGTGAGAGGTTGAGGCCTTGCATTCTTGCTTGTGTGAGTAAGACTTGGGTTCAGCTTGAATAAGCAGCATGCTTTTCACCTGGCCACTGTGTTTTCCATACAGGTTTAGTGCACCATCAGAATTGAAGGAGCTCTCAACATTCACACTAAAAGGTTCTGCTTTAGTGAGGATGTTGCTCTCCAGGCGGAGAGAGGGAGAGATGAAGCGCACCTCATTGCCGAACTTTGTGGAAAATCCAACAATCTCAAACTCAGAGCTCTGAGACATTTGAGTGCCCAAGAGTTTTCCAGAGGTGCTGCACTTTGCAGTGGCTGTCTGGTCAACATAGGTGATCTCATATTTATGTCTTAGTTCCTCTTCACCAAATGCCCCTTTCAGAGTTCCAGTAACTTCCATCCTGTAGGGCTCTGCCGTCATCTGGGCATCATTGTTGTAGCTGACACCAATGACTTTAAGTTCATTTTTGACATTTAAATATGCTTTAAAGTCATGAATGTCCACTACAATGTTGTGCTTGTAGAAGTTGTTCTCATTCAAAAAGTTGTCAGACTCAGAGCGGATGGCCAGAGATTTGAGGGTGAGTATCAGAGAGTCTGTGTTTTCTATTTTCATCTCCTGATTTGACGCCATCAAGTTGTTGGAGAGGTTCAGGCCATCTTCATTCAACTTGAAATTGATCCTGTTTCTAGTGTTGACATTGAAAATGTCTCCCTTGTACATACTGATTAGGTATACCTCTGAGCTTGCAAGTCTTCCCTCAACTTTGTGTTCAGCACTGTTCTCTTGGACTGTTCCCTTGGTAGAGACAGACATTGTAGCACCAGTGGTTGTAATGCCACCATGGAATATGTTTTCAAAGGTCAGAGAGCTGACCTGGGCACTGGTGGTACAGCTAGTGGTCAGGCCATCTTTGGTGAATGACAGGGTGCCCTTGTTGGAGGCACGGTTGGCAGCCAAGCTGATAGTGGCATCAGTATTGAGCTCCAGTCCCTGGGTGTTCAGGGATCCAGCAAGCTGGTAGAAAGCTCGATTTGTGTTGTCATCAGCCTGGGACTCAATCCTGAGAGCAACTTCCTTCATGGTTGCAGCAAAATCTACCTGGTTTTGAAGCTTTCGCTCATTAGATTTGGTGACAGAATCAGACTTAATGGTAAATTGAGCTTCTTTCAGTTCAATGTTGAACTTGGTGGTGTGATGGACTGGCTCATTCTCTATGTCAGTGTTTGATTCAAAAGAAAGTTCTCCATTGACTGCTGCAGCTTTCATCTTGTTTTCAATTTGGAGAATGGGACATCTGACACTGAAAGTGGATTCAGCTTTTGCCTCTCTGGTTTTGGGTTGAAGTATAAAGGTTTGGGTGGCAGTGGTAGTAGCAGACATTGATCCTACTTTTAGTGATCCATCTAAACTGCCATCACCTGTGATTTCAGAAGAGACTAAAGCCTGGGTTGTGTACATCACAGACATCTGCATACCCAGAGGGCTGAAGGCTTCAATCTTGTAATCTCCTGTTGTTTTCACTGCATCTGTGATTTTGACTGTTTCCAGTAGGCTAAGATTTGCATCTAAGAGCTTATGCTTCAGGGAAGAAATGATGTCAAACTTCGCAGTGTCCTCTGAGATGCCAGCAGTTTGTGCAGATCCTATATATAACAGAAATGGAAATTACATAAATTATAGAAAAAACTTTATTCAAGGAACGATATCAATGCACTAAATTCATGTATCCTGTATACTGCATGTATGCATGTATTTACCTTCCACAGTAAAGGCAAGAAGTTCCAAAGGGCTGTTAGAAACAACTTTGTAGCCTACGGTGTAGCTGGACTTATCAACAGTGTTGTTGCCACCAGAGAAAACCACCTCTATATCATAAAAGTTTGTACTGACTTTTGTAGATGCCTCTACCATTCCAAGAAGAGGCATTGAGAGATCATAGCTGGAGGGGATGGAGAAGGTGGGTAGAGTGAACTGCTTAGAGGGGAGCATTAGACCAATTTGAGGCATAGTAAGGTCAGGGGTGGCCATGGTGGGAGGGATTTTCAGGTCCTCAGATGTCTTTCCACCAAGAGGCAAAGGAATGGTGAAAGTGACACGATCTTTGTTGAACTTGTATTTTAACATGCTCTCACTGTAAAGAGAAAACACATTTTTTGGAAGTGAATGGATATGCACCTTAGAATTTGGATTATGTAGAATTAAAAAAAAGTTAGCATTAATCTTACGTGTTCATGAACACCTTCTCAGGCATAGATGGAATAACCAACTCAGGAATGTTCTCTCTTAGTGTCTGAAGGTAGGGCACATCAGAAGCAATCTTATCCATCCAAATGAGATAAGCCTGTAAAATTAATGAACATACTGGTATAAACATCATTAAAAAAACATATGTATGAAATTAATGCTATTTTCAACTGAAATTACAATCATACCTCCCAGAGTTTTCCATAAATATGACGGAGCTTCATGTCAGTCTTGACAACTTTGTGTTCCATGATGTCATCAAAGACCTGATCCAGGTGACTCTGAAGAGGTGCTACATTAGGCATCAGCTTCTTTATCTCAGAGTCCATGTCAGACTTCATCTCTATCTTCATCTCTTCTTTATCTGTTGTAAAAGGAAATTTTCACTTATATTTGATATTTTCACTCATATTTGACTGATTTAATAAAATAAAGATTTTAAAGTAATAATCAAGAGTTTACAGAAACAGTGACAGGAAATAGATCCAATACCAAATTGGAAGGTAATCTTCTGCACAGAGTTGGTCTCTGGGAGCTTGATGTTACTCTTGAGTTCCACAGTCAAATCTTCAACACAGTTCAGGGTGGCAGTAAGAGTGCTCTCGGTGTTAAGTGAGGGCACAATCAACTGAGCTTCCAGCAAGCCGTCTTTCATGGAATCAAACCTATAATTGGCAGAAACTTGTCTTTAGATTATTTATGTTTTTGGATTTTAGGAATTTTGGTTGTCCATCGACAAGTGTTTCAAAAAGTTATCTGGATCTCTACTTACTTTGCACGACCAATGAGAGAAAACTGTTGAATATTTTTGTTGGAGATATCAATGGTGATCTTCTTTCCCTTGGCAATACTGTCAGTGACACCAACTTTGATTCCAGCCTCAATATCATAGTCTGGAATCGCAATGCTGGTGGTGAGAGTATTTTTGTTCCTGTTGTATTTAATAGTAGCAGATGCCTCTGTGGGCTTTTCACCTTATGAGTAGAAAAGAAAAAAGTATTTAGCCTAAAACCCATAAAAAAATCTCCACCTTTGAAAAATTTAGAGATATAGTGGTCATGATTTAATATTCACTGTTGTTAAGAATTACATACCTTCTGCTTGCAAAATCATTTTCAGAGAATCTACTTTCTGGCGGCCTTCCTTGCCCTCGTTCAAGAGTTCATAGGAAATAGTTGCGGTGTACTCAGTGATGTCACCAGTGGGCTGGATAGTCAAAACAAAACTGTGGGAAAGTAATAATTTTAGCATAACAGGAATTGAAGGATAAATTAGAGGAATGATTTTGTGCGTTTTTGCATGGAAAATGTTGGATTCTTACTTGGACTCTCCATTGAAAGGAAAGTATGGAGAATTTCTCGCAGCTCTTGAGTTAAGAATGGTGGTGCAGAAATTGATCCCAGAGAATAGGGGGCTGCAGTGTGCTATGGCAGTCCTATCATCTGTGTCAGGAACAAGTGTGACCGGGGTTTTGGACACCATCACTAGCTTGTTGCTATTTGTGAAAAAATGACAAGAGGATTCCCATCATGTCTATGTACATTTTAAAGCATTGAAGTATTTTTCAGACATATAGCACAAAAGATACCTGACTCTGAAGAGTTCGGTAGTACCCTTAGGTGCCGGGATAGACAGCTTTATTTGACCATCGACCTTAGTGATTTTGGCATTGAAAGAGCTTTCATGGAACATATTGGTGTGCATTTCCACAGCAGAGACAACAAACTTGGGGATATGGACTCCCATACGGGTGACAAATTCTACTGCCATGGAGGGTGAAAAGGACAGTCCATGCTGTGAAAAGAACAAGGAAACTCTTGTAATGAACAGGTTAGTAATAAGATGAAGCAGAAATTTAAGCGTTTTTTATATATTAACCATCTAACTATAGTAACAAATACAACACAAATACGAACAAATAGTAACCAGGGGGAAAATGTATTACCTTGCCAGGCTCCATGTGCAAACCGCCCTCAACACCAGGTGCAAAAGTTCCAGACAGAGCAAACTTCAGGGGGAATCCAGAGGCAGTTGGGAGGCTGAACTCATTATCCATAAAGATGTAGTGAGCAAAGATGCTCTGATCTCCAGACATTAATACCTTTGTAATCTATTGAAACAGAAATAATATGTATTTGCATTCATAGAACCTGAAAAACAAACTGTTCTTAAAGTATAACAAAGCAAATCTTAACAATCAAGCAAATACCAATATGCTGTCTGATATATAAGCTAATATACTGTAGACATATGATATGTATGTAAAATGCAGCATACATACCCATGCAGGTGAGTATTTGAGGGCCTGAATATATGTGGCCATCCTGTCAACAATAGCTGACAGATCATTGGTACTCTTGATGTATCCCAATTCATTCCCCATGATCTTTAAGTAAGCCATGGCCTCTGGGGAGTCCTGGTTGTACAGGTCCTTTGCAAGCTTGTTAAAATTGCGCACCATTTCCCTGATAATGTTCTCAGGAACCTGTCAAGGAGAAGGTCATGAATATATCTAGCCTTGCCATGCAGCAAAAACTCAATCATGTAAATAGTCAAATTTTTAGGGTTGGAATAAGCAATGAATGTCAGTACCTGTCTCTTAGTTTTGTCTGTTCGCAGAGGGTCAACCCATTCTTGCAGAACCTCATTGATTTTGTTTGGCATCTTGTCCCCAAACCAGTACATTGCCTTGGAAATCGTATCAGGGAAGAAGCCATTGCTTCCAAAGAGAGTCTCAACAGTTGGCTCAAATCCTTTGCCGTCCATACCAAACTTGGTGACAAAAAAAATGTATAATAATAATTTTAAATTCTAAAAGTCACATGTGTATGCAAAAAGTGGAATTGGTACAAACAATTAGTCAAACTAAACATATCGCATGAAGATTCCTACCTCCATAAAGTCAAGGTTGTAACCGAAGGCTTTTAGGGTTGTCTCAAGCAAAACCTCTCTGGGCAGCTGGCTGCTGGGATCAAAGATGATGCTTCCCTGCGTGCTGGAGCCCATGACATCCTTTCCTGGCATAAATATCTCCATCTTGTAGTTACGAGAAAGCTGAGTGTAGTTTGAATGGGTAAGCACCTCATCATCCTGCATGACCTCAACTATCCTTTTGCCCAACCTGAGAAGGAAAAGCTTATTGTGTTAAGGAGAGGATAAGGAGAAAACTGAAATGATAGACAGCAGAACATATGCAATTAAATGTTTTGAATGCAGCAGTCTAAATAAAAATGATAAACTGGGTAACATACTCTTGAATTTCAGGATTCCTGGAATGAATAATGTTGTAGACATGAGAAGCCACAAATGACTTGACTTGCACATTCTGGTCCTGGGTAAGGATCTTCTTCACAACCTCCAGATCGCTTGCCTCTGGCTTTTTCATTAAAATAAGATATGCAGCCAATCTCTTCTGAACAGCACCTTTGGCATAAAGGGCCACTCTCTGAATGTTGGAACGGACCTGAGCATGAAAAAGATTGTGTGAATTTGGTTAGTTTTAGTAAGAGAGTTCCACATAAATTGGTTCGGAAGAAATGTAAATAGTTGGATAAATCCAGTATCCAATACTTACATCAGTAGTCACAGACATACGTCTGAAAGCCTGGATGGCAGACATCTGGACGGATAGGGTGGTGGCAGGCTGTCTCATGCACTTAAGCAGAGTGGTCTTCATGTTGGGATCAGCGGCTTCCATAGCCTCGCCCATGTTTCCAATCACCTAAACAGGACAGGTAACAATAATTATAATAATAACATTATATTGTTATATTGGATATATTATTACTGGATTTGTTTTAACTAGTGTGAATATGTCCAGGAATATAAATATTCAAACACACACCCTTAAAGTCAAGAAGATCAGATCTTTCTCGCCAGAACAGTCAGCACCAAGAATGGAGCTAATGAAGTTATACACCTCGAGAATCTCAGAGGTGAGCTGACCCTCAGCTTGGAAGTGCCTGAAGGGATATATTATACATTGTCAGTAACAGTGGCCATATCCTGACAAATGGGTTTAGGATTTTTTTCCCACCCCAAAATGAGAATCAATCCCTGTTGAAAAGAGAAGCATTGCTGGTCACCAGCATATGTTGTGTTTTGGATTCTGCTGAGTAGATGTCCCCATCTAGCTTTTTAACTAGCTTATAGAGGATGATTACTTAGCTTCTAGAAAGACCATACAGGTGACAATTTTCACAAACTATGTTTTGCAGCCTATAGATGGCCATGCAAGCAACACTTAACTAGTATTAACAAATTTGGACAAGCATGGAAAATCAATCTCTGCTGGTCTTTTCAGCAGGGAAGTGAAAGGTACACAGAGTTTGCTTACCGCCTTACAGCATTACTGAGAGCATACATAATTGGCTTGCTCTGCTTGGTCTGGGCAATCTCCAATATGTCTTTCACCAAGAGGCCAGTAGGGCTGTGCATCATTCCTAGAGCATAGACAGCAGCATCTACCTCGATGGCATCAGTGGCAAAGGTCTTCAGGAGACTGAACATGGCACTGCCACACTCTGGGGTGCCACACTGAGTTAAAGCCTGCCAAGTCAAGAGCTTGTCCTCCTCCACCATCTGAGTAATGGTCTGCTGCAAAACCTCCTGCTCAAGTCCACGGAGTTCAGACACCAATCTCTGGAACATGTTGGCCCTCTGCTGGCGATCTGGTTTTTCATTCATGGATTTCAGCTCCCTGAAGATGAACAACGGAGCCTCAGAGGTCTGGACTGGGGCTTTGTCCTCTACTGCTTCCAGAACCAAGTCCTTGGGGTTAGTAGAACCTGTGTTGTATAGACAGGGATGATTATGTGAGTGAAAGGGGGGGACGTAGTCAGTATAGACCCCTTTTGCGCCGACGTCACAGTTACGTCACGGCGCTAGCTGGAGGCAAAACAAAGTGAAAACTGGAGGCGGCCAATGCAAACCAGCACAGATTCGGCTACATAATAAGGAGCTTAAATTACTTTTATTATTTTTAAATGTCATCTTATTGTGTTGTTTGGTGCAAGTATCAATGAAAAATGAATATGCTGTATCTGGATTTTTTAATCCTAGAAAATATTCACATGATTAAAATCGCACCGTAATGTCACTCTTTACATTGTCGTCTTCTCTGCCCTGGCTCGGCAGAACTGCGGATCTCTATAAGGTAGGTGTAGAAGTCAGGGCACTCAACCAAGGTAATGTAACGTTAATCCTGCCAGATCGTCCATGCATTGAGTGAGCGACCCGTGTAGACGAGCGGGTCGGCCAATCTGGTTCTGTCCGTTAAAAATAACTTTTGGAAATAACAATCGCGGTCCTGGACAGTGAGTGACCTTACAATCAGATAAAATCTGATAAATCCGATTTTCTCCAGTCATTGTTAAAAAACAAGCTAATAAAACTTGCTAACTAGCATTAGTGAAGCGGCCAGAGGGATCGTTCTGCCTCCACCTAAGCTCCGCCCACATAAAAACGTCACCATGTTTACCAACTGAAAAGGGGTCTATTCTTTAACTTTTAACCAGACAAATCAAATTTAAACATCTTTGATTTATTCGAGATATACAGTGAAACTGGGAATACGCACGGTGATCAAAAACTCTGTCATTGATCTTGCTGGTTTCCTGAAGAGTTAGGATTTGTTTCACAAGAGAAGAGAGACCATACTTGTTCCTGCAATGGAAATGAAATACATTTGAATGAATCAGAACATCTTCTGTTCCACTTATGCAGGTACATAGGAGATGAAGGAAATGTAGCTAGCAAAAATAATGTCAGTGTCACTCACTGGTAAGAGAAAGGAAGGAAGATGTGATTTTCTGTGCATGTGGCAGATGTCATGTGCTTCTTCTGGTTGTCGAACTTGTAGTTGCAGGTCTGGGTACTGCCAATCAGCTTGGACAAAGGGTATTGCTGTTGACAAACACAGACATTTAAGCACAATTATCTGTTTCTTTAAGTATATGAGTACCATTTTTTCTACCTGTTGTTGACTCAGTCTGTATGTCATAATGATTTTGTCAATATTGGTTAGAGGTAACTTGCTTAAAAGACTTAAAAGAGGTAACCTAATTGTTCAAACATGTGGTAATGTGTAAATTGCACTGAGGAGGATGATTAATTGGATTGCATTTAATTTAATTTATAAATAAATAAAAAACGAAGAAGCAATAATTGCAAGATTCAACCAGCAGAGGGTATAATGAAAAAGAAAACTATTCGTCTAACCAAACGATTGATGATGGCCAGCGGGCTGGTGTGGCTTCTTTGGGTTTTGAAAGCATCACATCTGGACAGGTCTCTAGTGATAGTGACATCAGTGGCAATATCTTCCCTGGTGTTGACCTTGACGTCAGTGGCACAGATTCCATGGACAGTAACCTAGATGAAACAAGGAAATCTAAATAAATGCAAATAAATGTTTGTGTACAGGCTTTTACTTTTACAGATCCTCACCTACTTTTAGTCATTGTTTGCATTTTTTGTTCTGGCATTATATACTGGCTAGAACAAGCTAGTTATAAAGTAAAGGCTAGTTATAAAGTAAACATTCTCACTATTAATGAGTAATTATTATGTTATTTTATTTATTAGTTTACTGGGCCATATGCCAAAAATTTTAATTACAATCTTTGTTTAATTTGATTACTACTAATAAGTAAAGTCAAACAACTCTAAGGTTGTGGAGATTGGCGGCTCTTGGTAGAGAAAGGATATTGTTTAAAAGTTAAATATTGTTTTATATAAAATTACAATAACGATTATACAAAGCAACTATGCAAAAGCTAGCCTCAACACTTTTCACCAAATCATGAGAGTAACATAATTGTTTCCAACCTGTCATGAGGATATTGATGATGTAGAGGCAATGTAATGATATAAGGAAATTGTCTCCTATCAACTAAGTGAATTTATTATTCCAGATAAGATGATTCATTGCAAATAAGTTCAACACACCAATAAAAGGCAATTCATATACCTTTACAGATTAGGACCTTAAGGAAGAAGTAAATATGTTTATGTACCATGTCTTTTCTCTGCTCCTTCTCCATGATAGGCACAATCAGAGCAGAGATGATACCTCTCTTGAAGTTCAGAATGTTGGTTTCATCACCCTCAGGATAGAGTGTCACACCAGTGTCACCCTCAACTACGAACTTCAGTACATTCCTGTTCAAAGAAAATGAATGGCTGTTGAATAACTTCTGGGGTTTCTGGACAAATTTAAAATCAATTTATTATAGACGGGAGAATATAGCCGAGTTCACAATGCCTCAACAAACACAAACTTTAATTGATGTTGGGTCCAAAGGCAGCTTTAAAATGTTTAAAATATTAGTGTTTGTTAGGGCAGTGTAAACCAGGTAATTTTTATTTTTCGACAGGCTGTTTTAAATTTTAGCTATTGGCTGCGCTTATTTTAAATATTTGTGAACTTTATTATTTAGGTCAGTTTCTCAAAAGCTGGGAAGGGAAACTTAAACATACTTTTCCATGGCAGATTGAAAGGCTTGAGCCTCAGAAGCAGGTGAATAGATGGGTTCCCCATTTGCATCTGTTCCGACCACCTCAGTTAAGGAGCACTCACTCGTCCGGAGCTCAAAGCTGCATGCCACAGGCACATCAATTTCAACCTATGGATGGAAGGGTGTTAATGACTTTAAGGAACAAACAAAACAAAAAAAACAGGGAAGACATATTGAGAAACTGTACGGATATGATTTCTCAAATTTCGATATACCTTGCAGGACAATTTGGGGCCATTCATGAGAGGAGAGGTCCCAGTCACCCTGTTTTGGATCTCTGCTTCATACTGATATGTATATTTTTTGTATATCTTAAATCTTTTAGATACTGTAAATAAAATAAATACAAGGTCAATTCAAAAATAATATATTAATCACACACTGATAAACAGTCATATTTTGGTCACTTTACAATAAGGTTTCATTTGTTAACATTAGTTATACAGTACCTTAGTTAACATGAACTAACAATGAACAATAATTCTACATTGTTATTATGTTTTGATTGATACTGTGAAGCTGCTTTGATGCCATATATTTTGCTATATAAATATACTTAACTTGACTTGACTACAGCATGTATTAGACTTATTTTCAACCTTTTTCAACCTTTCAACCTTTCAACCTTTACTAATACATATTTCAAATTAAAAGGTTTATTAAGTAAATATTCATATAAATAACAATTGTTAAATGTTGTATAGACATTTTACATTTACATTGTACATTTGGTTTTCAATGAATTTCTTGTTTTCCAATAAAAAAAAATTGAACTGTGGATTTTTTTGTGGATTTAAATTTAATATACATTTTGAATATATATTTTGCCTCTTGGCACTAGACTTTTCAATTATTTTTCTTAGAGGTCAAATGATCGGATTATTATTTAAAATATTACTTATTAAATTGCATTTCATATTACATTGTTTTATCTAATCAAGATGAGCAATAAGAAATATGGACTCTGCCATCCTGACTCAAGAACTGTCTGTTGTTGATAAAGAGTACATAAGCCAGGTGACAATGGTGATCTCATTTATAGGGTTCAAAGTAAGGGACAACAACAATTGGTACAGTGAGTCCAAAAGGTAAAAGGTCAGGATACATTATAGGGAACTTAAAATGTATGACACTTCGAATACAAAAGAAATAATAATAATAATAATCAAACGATTAGAAATAAAGAAATTTAAAATACTTACAGTGACATCCTGGATGAGAATTGGAATCACTGTCTTGCTCTGGCGAGAAAGTAATTACATTAAACATTATAAACATTATAAGATGAAGCAAAATAAATAATGCATGTATTTTAAACATAACATTAAAAGATCATGTTTTTCAATTAAAAAAGTCTCATTTTAAGGTGAATTTAACCATTCAAATAACTTTATCATTAATAACATTGATAGCCTTGAAATAATATAAAATGCAAAAAAATGAGAAAGGATGAAGCAAAATAAATAGTGCATGTTTTTTTACATAACATTAAAATGTATTTCAATTTAAAAAAATAAGGTGAATTTAACCATTCAAACAACTTTATCATAAAAAACATTAATAGCCTTAAAATTCTATTTTAAAAAAACAGGATAGATGTAAAAAAAAAAATAATAATAATAATAATGCACTCTACATGCACTGAAAATCTTTTAATGCACCAGAATGCAAAGGAACATTATACTCACGGGCTATGGCAGCGGTGCCAAGCATCAGTAATAGGCAGAACTTCATACTCCCCATGCTGGGTCAGAAGAAGCTCAAAAGCCCTGAAACTAAAGCGAGTCTTCCTCCAGACAAAGACTGATGGTGATCCTCTGGCGTGCATCTTTTATACTTGGATCTATTCAGTCCACTGTTAATCAAGGGTTGCAACAGGTCCAAAGTTCCATCAGCCAGTGTGGCAGGCCAAAGGCAAAGGCTATTTCATAAACACCACCCAAGATTTTCCTGTCAGCAATTGAACTGATAGAACTCACTGATTGCATTAGCCAACATCAACCACAGCTTTTAGACCTTGATTGATTTTCTTTTCTTTGTGAAAATCTTGCATTGGCCAAAGGTTGCTGCTTGGTTAGGCGGAACAAGTTTTCAGAGTTTAGTGTCAGTACTACATTAAACTATATATAATGTTGAATATAATGTATAAAAATGCAATGGGGGGATATTTGTGGGTCCTGATGATGCCAAATGTCTTATGTTCCCAGTAAAAAGTGGCCAACATTATTTTAAATGTATCTAGTCAGTGACAGAAGCATATTCGTCTAAAATAAGTCTGTATTTTCAGCTTCAGAATCAGGAATATTCACTATTGTCACTATTGTCCTGCGCTTTGTATTTCCAGCACCAAGTCCAAGTCTATTCATTTACACCCATAATATCAAAAATTTAGCATTTTAATCAACTGTACATTTTGTGTTCACTTTTATCTTATGTCTTGGAGTATCGCAATAATATTGTATTGTGAGTTCAATATCGTGATGTGTATCGAATTGTGACATGAGGGTATCATTACACCCCTAGTAAATACAAGTAATCAATGTAATCGAAATGTAAGACCAAATCATAAGCAATAAAAGGGCTAAAGGGCTTTAAAGGACCTACAAATTCTTTAATGCAATTCTATCCTTGATATGCTTTTATATAAATGACTTACTATATACTAAAATATTAAGGAAAGAAATGTAGCCGAATTATTGGAGCAGAAACCCTGATTCAATCTGAGCTAACAAATACCATTCTGTGCAGTGACATGTGAGTCATATCTTAATCGTAGTCAGTTAGGCAAAGAACATGTCCTTTCCCAATTTACAACTCTTATCTTTGAAACCAAGTCAGTGTGCAACAGTTCAGAGAACATTTCAACCATTTAGAACAACTGATGGACTGTGTTCGGAATTATCTATTCTAAATTATCAATAGCATCATTAGCACAAGATGGGAATATTATAGAAAAGAATATTATAGAAACTACATGCATCTCAATATAATCTTATATTTAATTTTTGTTTTATTTTATCATGCTAAACTTCTCATTACCATAGTTTCAGAATCAGACTGTTGTTGGGGGTTAACTTGGTTTGTTGACTTATGACGTGAAGAGATAACTTAATCAGAGAGAAGCTCATCAAGATATGTTACATAATTTATTTCTTGCCACTGTTTTTTTTTTTTTCTTGCTCACTGGTACATATATTCAAACCAGCAAATGATTAACCTGATTAACAGTGTCGAAAGCAACAGATACTGTAGATCTAGCAGAATGACAACTAATGACTAATGAACTTCTTAGACTATAGTGTGTAAAGTAGTGTCTACAAGTAACAATATAGTTGAATGAAGAAAATAAATTCTGGTAAGGTTGACAAAACATTTTTTAGTACATAGAACCCGCTCAGAAGGAAAAGGAAAGCGTCAGTTAGAGGACGCGGTTAGGTTTAGGTGTTGGGTGGGGGTAGGGTACACGCGATCCTAGGGCGTCATCTAACTGACGCTAAAGGGCGCCTAAAGCGTCAGATATTAGGTTTGATGAGATGAGCAAAATCTGCGCAGAATCGATCACCGGTGATCAGCGCGAGATGCATGCCGGTTAGAAATGTGTCCGAGAACGGTCCGCCTGGCTCTGATGTCATGCCGACGTATGTCAAAAAACTCTCGCGAGCGCAAGGCGCACCTGTCGGATTCTGCAGTCACGCGCAGTTGCTCTCCACCGACTGCGCTGATCAAAAGCATGATGGGAAACGACTTGCTGACGACACAGCTTAATGCTCATTGGTTTAAACAACCGTGATGTATTTTTCTCTTTTAACATGTTTGATTTTAAAACTCTGATATCATGTTTTATATGTATACATATTTGTTATGGGTGAATAAACTCTCTGACAGTGCCATATGGGTTATTATGTGATGTCACATATGATATTTTTATGCACATGATATTTTTATTAAAAAAATATATAAAAACACATGTCTGTATTAAAGAAAAAAATATTGATAAACACATATTTTGAATTTAACTTAACTGACGCCTTGGGGGTGAGAATGGGCTGGATCTTTATACATCAACAGTATAAGTAACATTAAAACTGGCCACATTTTTTTGTAAAAAACCACAAACAGCTTAAACAAAAAAAAAACTCAATAGTCAACATTCTTACAATGTTCAACTGCCTGTAATACAATTTAACTTAGAAAAAATAAAAAGGAAAGTTTTTTCTTCCAAGACAGGCAGCCTATCACAAAAAGCTACAGTGCTCAATTTTTTATATTTCAAATCATTTAAGCTATAGGTAAAGAACATTTTGTCACGGGGTGGGTGCAGGCAGAAGAACAGGTGTATTCCAAAGAGCTCCAATACAAAGGTTTAATATAAATAATCCGAAGACAGGCAGGCAGAATACAGAGTAACATTCACATTGACCGACAAAGACAGAATGAAACAGAGGGAACATTAATATACAGAGGAATCAGGCCTAATGAGGTGCAAACAGGTGAAACAGATGAAACAGGACGCTGAACGGTAGGCTGATGAGGAAGTGAGTTCAGGTGTGCAGACGAGAGGATCATGGGAAGTGTAGTGCAGGAAACGCAGACAGGATGGTGCAGACGCAGACTGTGACAGAACTCCCCCCTCCCGGGAGGCGTGACCTCACGCCGCAGAACAGAGGAAGGAGGGGGGACGATCTGAGGGCTGAGCGGGGCGTGGCCAGGGCGGAGCAGGCTGAGGGCGTGGCCAGGGCGGAGCAGGCTGAGGGCATGGCCAGGGCGGAGCAGGCTGAGGGCGAGACCAGGGCGGAGCAGGCTGAGGGCGAGACCAGGGCGGAGCAGATGGAGGGAGGACCCCTGGTGGAGCCGATGAAAATGGCGCTGACGACACCAGAGGGCCGACTGACAGGGGCGGAGCAGATGGGAGAGGAGACCAAGGTGAAGCTGAGGGACTGACGATGTGTGGTGCTGATGAGGGACCGAGGGAACATGGTGACACCGCAGGCTCCGGTGACTGAAGTGATGCCAGGGGCACAGAGGGACACGGTGAGGACAGAGGGAGTGAGGGCTGACGGGTGACTGGCGGGAGTGAGGAGTCCAACTGAACCGGAGGGGTGACACAACGGGCGGCGCCAGAGGAAGGAAGTACATAGGTGAAATGAGGATGACGAGGGAGCGAAGGGAATCCGGAGGGACGAGGGAGCCTGGCCGAGCTGGTGGACTGAGGGACCATGGAGGAGCTGAGGGAGGTACGAGCCACAGGGGAGCCAATGGGAGCGGGGGCCGAGGAAGTGTCCGTGTGGAGGAGACGGGAGGCGAAAACTGAGGATCCAACAAACAGGCTGGGTCAGGAGGGCTGGGAGACAGAAGGGCTGACAGATGAATGACGGGAGGAGGTGGGAGAGGGAGGAACGAGGGAGAGGAAATCAGTCAAATGATCTTTCAGGGACCGGTCTTCCTGCTCTAAGCAGAGTAGTTGGACCGCAGCGAAGGTATCCATACTTTTGAGGTCGGTCAATCTGTCACGGGTGGGTGCAGGCAGAAGAACAGGCGTATTCCAAAGTAGTGATGTTACGTATGACACTGAAGCTTCGATGCGCGTATCACATATGCGACACAATTTCTAGTGAAGCCCCGTATCGTGGTGTGTATTGGTTTTCCCAGAGTCACGTGATCGATGACAAACGAAGCCTCACTTTCTGTCCGATCACGTGCGAGTTTCGCTTTGGGTGTCAGAAGGCTCGAACTTTAACGAGTCAATGTTGCCTCAGTCTGGTTGATGGGTGTTTTAGGAGAGTGCTGTACTTTGAAAGTTAATAAATATAATTCATTAAATAACCAACATTTATTTTTCACTACTTAGTCTTATTTTTTGTTTTGTCTTTTTGTTTTTGTAAAATCTTTGCACTTAAGCTTATATCTTTGCACTTAAGCTTATATTATATACTGTACACTTTAATGGGAAAATGAATTTATCAAATGAACAAATCAAACACAAACATGTAAGGTTTTTATTTGTACACATAACATTGAAACTTCTTAATTCTTAAAATGTGCAAATTCCTTGAAATATTGTAATAAAAAATTCACTTAGAAAAAGAAAAGGAAAGTTTGTTCAATTAGACTAAGTTAGTCATCTATTTTTTTTTCTTACTTCAAGACTGGCCAAAACTTTTTAAAGTCAGTTACATAAAGTTTTTATTGGTCTAAGTTGAATCCCAAAAGAAAGACTGATTACCCCTTGGTTAACTGCTAGTTAGTCAGACTTCTTAAGACACATTCTTACTGGCCCCACCTATGGGGTTCCATTTGTGCCAAAATGAGTCGACCGCTTTGTGCTTTGTACTACACATTTGTCCTTGTCAACAGTCATTGTTGTTTGTAAAACTGGTATATGTTGATGTGTGTTTTCTCTGTTTATGTCGATTTGATCTGTCATTCTTACTGTATTGATCCTCCTTTTTCAGGAAAAATAGTATATGTTGATGTGTTTGTTCTGTATTCTGTACTTGAACTGTATGGGGTTCCATTTGTGCCGAAATTATGTCGACATGTTGTCTGTCTATGCTATGTGTCGTCTTCCGTGTTAATGTGTCTGTTCACTGTCTATGTGGACATGTTGTCTGTCTATGCTGTGTGTCATTTTCCATGTCTATGTGTCTGTTCACTGTCTATGTTCCTGTTGTCTGTCTATGCTATGTGTCGTCTTCCATGTCTGTTCACTGTCTATGTTCATGTTGTCTGTTTATGCTATGTGTCGTCTTCCATGTCTATGTGTCTGTTCACTGTCTATGTGGACATGTTGTCTGTCTATGCTGTGTGTC